TTAATACATATACTGATATATAAAAATGACGATTGGTTTGAAGATGTCAATCTTAACATTCAATAGCTCATGTGCATTATAAAAGAATAGAATAGGTTTTTATTTTTAAACCATTTGATTTCTTGGTTTTCACATAAAAGGATCACTCTTATTAAAAGAAATATTTTAAACCCGTATGTGTTAGTTTCTAAAGTTAAAATGCGGAAATGCCATTTCTAAATCAATTGGAATATAAGTTTATAGGAGTACCTAATGTTTATATAGTTGTAGCTAACTAGAAAATGGTTGAACTAATATTAATTGCTAATTTGCTGGTTAATTAAGCACCGATTAAAATATGTACATATCAAATAAGGTCAATCAGGTGAGGATTTTAAGGGCATATTCAAACAAATATAGACCCGTTATTTTATTTATATCATGAAACGTACCTAAATATTTAATTAATTAACCAGAACACGTAAGAATTTCAGCTCATGCAGGAAATATATATTTTGGGTTCCAATTCTCGAGTACGTGGACGACAACCAAACCCCATGACATGTTGCTCTCAGTTCGTATTAATTTACAATTCTATAACTAATTTTCTTTGTTTTGATTTGGTTACCTAGATTTAAGGTTTCTTTGTTTTTATTATGATTGCGTAAAAACTTGTTTAATTGTATTACTTGTTGTGTTGGACAATTTCTAAATGATTTTTTTTGTCAAATTGAATTTTTGGGAGAATATAAGACTAAAAAGTATAATAAAATTATGAATTCACATTCAAAATTATTTTATTTGAAAATATGAAATTAAAAATGAGCTTGAAAAAAAAATACATTTTAAATATTTTGTAATAAACAGGGTAAGATATGGACGCAATAAAATCGAATTTTTCATGAAAACATTCTATATCAATAGCTAGATTGTAATAATTCGAGCACCTTATTTGTACGTAAATATATCAGTTAAACATATAGTATAGGTGAAAACGAACCAATCCTCAAATACGCTTTTCAGCTAAAGACATCCCTTTGCACTCTGATATATATTTGTTAAATTATAAGTTTGTCCATTTTGAAATCTTGATAGAGTGAAGGGACATTATATATAATGCATATTCTGGACACTTGTTAAATGCCTATAACCAAAAATTTAAAAGCAAAGAATCAAAAGCATCTAATTTACTTGTTTTTTCAAGGATAATCTTTTATAGACTGAAAAATTAACATGAATGATGTGAGAAATGAACCGGCCGCAGGTGGTGGCTGCATGCGGCGGGACCAGCAGTGTTATCCTATTTTGTCCTTGTTAACCACCTTAACCCCCCTATTCATTAGCCTAACCACATAAACCCCCCTATTCATTAGCCTAGCCACATATACTTTATTACCCTTTTCCTTTTCAATTTTTTTTTCTTTATTAATTTTCCATTTAATTTGATTAGTTATCATTCCTTTTTTCTCGAATTATGTTACTTGTATATAAAAATGGTAAATGAGTGTTTACATAAGGAGGAAGAAATTAATTGTATTTTAAACTGACAAAAAATAAGATGACGTGGTATTACGTGCTTGTTTGTACCCCATTATTTATGCGTAATGTATTACGGAATAGTAATTGAAATTAAAATGTATGGTTAAAAATGAAAGAAAATTTTTTGATTTATGTATAATATTATTTTAATAAAAAATATGTGATTGAAAATGATTACAGTAGAAAAAATAATATGATAAAATGTGAAAGAATAATAGGCAAACAAAGCCTAATTTTTCTTACATCCTTTTCTTCATTTTACACTCAACATCAAACTGGCCAACCATTCTCTCTCTCTCTCTCTCTTTGAGTTTGAGTTTGACCCGTTGCCACCTACCGGCAGCTTCCTTTCTCTCCTCCAATGGCGACCCCACCGCCCCAGCTCTCTAAAGCGGAATCTTTTTCAAGTGAAGACGTAAACTCAAACCTGCCTTTCTTTTAGAGCCTCCCCACAAAAGCTTATTTATTCCAATCTTCTTCTCTTTCTTCTCTCTTTTTTTCTTCCCCCTCTTTCACAAACCCTAGTTCACTGTCGTACGTGGATTAGGCACAAATAGAAAGGGAAAAAGTTTCTAGGACCAGGAAGATATCTTTTATGCCTTTTTTCATGCATTTCTTTGCTTGTTTTTCGCTGATCTCGTAATTGGGGAGTTCAGATTCTCCTTTTTTCAATTATTTATAGGTTTCAGTACTCTTTTTTTTCCGTTCTCCTTAGAGAGTTATGGATTCTGGTAACAGCGGGAGTACGCAATCCTCAAGCGGAGGTGAAGATGAGTACGATTCACGGAGTGAGTCGATCTCGTCTTTTTTGAATCCCGGCGGCCATTTTGGTTCAATATCTAGTCCACAGCCACAGTTTATGTCCCAAGAGAACAATTTCTTCTATCCTCGTTCGAACCTCGATGCATTTGTCCAACAACAATCATCGGTCAATCCAAATGCGAATACTCAATACAATAATGATCTTGTCTGGACCAGAAGTTCAAGATCTGATCAATCCAATTATGCCCACCAAGCCCACTTCGGGAACTTAGCGGAGTCATCATCAAGAACCCAGAATCTTGTAAATTCCCAAGGACCCAACAGTACGCAGCAGGGCCCTGTCCAGTTCCCAAACACACTATCCGTAGAGTTGACAGGACATGCCGGTTCAGAACAATCTGATCAACAACCCAACAGTGCAATCAAGAATCCTAAGAAACGGCCGAGAGCTTCAAGGCGGGCGCCCACGACTGTGCTGACGACTGACACCACAAATTTCAGGCAAATGGTGCAGGAATTTACAGGCATTCCGGCAGCTCCATTTTCAGTTCCGCCGTACTCACGTCGGCTCGATCTCCTCTCCACCATGAGGTCCGGCCATTTGGACACACTGGGATCCATGTATCCTCTCCGTCCCTCGGCGCAAAAGGTGCAACCATCCCCATTTCAACCTTCATCCTCTTCTCCCTCGTTCAACTCTACTATGATTGATACTTTAGTGCGCAGTACCAATATTTCCACCTCAAATGTCGGCTCTTTGAATTCGAATAATTTCCAACTGCCCTCTGATATTGGCCTAATTCCAAAACAGCCCCACAATTTATTGAATTTGCAAAATCAGTTTCTTCAACTTCAGCCTCTACTGCATTCTCCTTCACTTAAGAATCAATCAGGACAGTCTTTTGGTACTTTGGGACTGAGCCACGATCAACAAGTTGAAGCTAATCTTGGTGGGTTTTCAAATTTAGAAAGCTCTTCAGCTGCTGCACAAGAGAGGACTGAAGGGAATCTACAAGAAAATATGGGAACGTTTGGTGGAAATATTGGTTCAGAATTCCGTGCTGATAAAGGACATGGAAATGTTTCTTCAGCTGCCGATGGTTCGGTGAGCTCATGGAAATTCTGATTAAACATTTTGGAGAAAATATGGAAACTTTTGCTGGAAAATAAAGGACTTGAAAATGTTTCTTCTGCTGCCGATGATGATACGGTATGGATTTGTCCTTCCGATGAAATATTTTGTAGAGTAATCAAGAATTACAATTAGGATATACAATGAATATTTTGCTTTTGCTTATAGAAATGCATGTATTCCATCTTAATTAGTGAATAACTTATTAAAATCACTC